CTTTCCCTGCTGGTAGTTCAGGTGGTGATTCTGTTATTCAGGCTTACTGAGTTTCCTCTGAGAGTAGTCCTTGGTCTGTTCGTTGCACCTATCAGTGATTCCAGATCTAGTTCTGTTGCTTTTTAAAAAAGTCCATTTTTATTTTAAGAGTTTGACTATACAAAGGTTGAAAATGGAAATCAAAGGCAATAAATGCACACGCAATAGTCAGCAAATTTGAAAAGCATCTTCAGGGAGATGCAAGTATTTAACTTTGGAAATGCGATTTAGGTGTTTTCCTCCTCTCCTTGAGTATATGGCAAGAAATACTCTTTCAAAACCTCTCTCTTGGTCAGTACAAATGTCTAGAAAGGTCCTATTGGCACTTTGTGTAGAATAACTATTTTGTTCACAGATGTTCTGGCAGCTGTGGCAGAATCTTCCTTTCCCCACCCCTTTTTGTCTAGTATGTAAGTATTGTGTACACTCAAGTATGTAAGCGTTGTGTTAGTTTTCAGAGTTGATTTTAGAAGACATTCTTTCTTCACAGTGTTACCAACAAAGGAAGAGGTATTTTAAATGCAAAGAAGGCAATTGAGAGTCCATCCCCTTATTCTAGCTTCCCAGTGAAAGTTAGTAAAACCGGGTTTTGCATTTTGCATTGGTCGCTTGGAAGCTCTTTGGAAATCTGTCACCGTATTTTCAAAGGCAGCAAGAGATTCAGTTGATACCATTATGAGTCCCAAACTACTTCTAAAATGTGTGTTAGTTGCACAAATTACTTGAGTGCCATAGGCATTGAGTAGAAATATCATCTGCTCTTTCCTATCTGTGTACTGTCTTCACCAGAGCTGCTTCCATGAATTCAGAGCAAGCCTAGGAGTGTCCCCACTTTCTCTCTCATGTATATAGCCACCAGATACAGTGATGCCAAATACAATTTGACTTGACAAATGTGTTGTTCAGAAACTTCCTTTACTTTCTCTCATAAATTACCCTCCTTGCTCTCCCTTTAGTCCCTCTCTTCTTTTATCCGCTATTTCTGGTAGAGAGGTGAGAGATGCCACCAAATAAATCAAAATTTTCAAAATTACTTGAAATGCCAATTGAAACAACACAGATCCTCAGGTTGTATATGACGATAGGTTTTGTTCTTCGGCAGTGATGCTGGATGTTTTTTGCAGATATGCAGTTGACTATGTGTAACATCCATTAATTGGCAGAATTGATTTCTGTGCATGTTCTTTACTATCTAGTCTGAAGCGTCTGGATGCTTGAATATAATCTTTTTTCTTTTTTTCCCCTTCCTTTTCTAATTAGGCTGACAATTAATGCTGAATGTTATCTTCAGCTTCATAACTTTCCTATGGATGAACACTCCTGTCCACTGGAGTTTTCAAGCTGTAGGTGGTAATTTTTTTCCCCCCTCTTTGCATTCAGGCTTTAAGTTTCCTTAAATTCTGGCAGCAGCAAGTGTTTACTTTTTAAACCCTTGTAGTGAAGGAAAGAAATGATCTGTTTATGTTTTGATTAGATTTATTGCATTATTTAATGCATTATTAAATACAGTAATGAATGAATTGAATTACATGCATTTTATTTAGGTGCAACTTCAAAAATAATCATATTGCTTAGGAGTTTGATACGATGCCCACTCCAGTTAATGAAAATCTATTGCCCTCAAAGAACTTTATTTTTTATGCCTGCCAGAATTGCCAGCTTTGAATTAATTCCATCTGCTGTACTTAAAAGGAAAAATAAGGTCTGTCTTCCTGAACCTGTTCCTGTAAATGCTTAATCAGTAGAAGAAGTCTTTCTCCTTTCAGTGGGACTTATTTATGTGAGCAAGAAACACAACATTCAGGCTTCATTTCTTTAATATAAACTATATTAAAATAAAAAAAGGTTCCTAAGGGAATTGTGCTATTACTGGCAAAAGAAATCTAAACGACCAGAACACCACTAAATGACTTATTCCTAAATGTGAAACCTAATAGGCAATGAAACGAAACTTCAGTTATTCTTTTTAAATTAATGTTTTCATTCAATACTTCCTTCTTGAGAACTTCCAGCTAAATGGGCTTTGGTAGCTTCATTGATTAAATAGTTGTGCCACAACAGGACTCTTGCTTCATTTCTTTTTTGCCTTTCTGTAGGATAATATGGAGCAACATGTGAGGCACATGAAAATTTAAAAGGTTGCACTTCTTAAAGCTCAAGTACTGGAGAGTGAATTAGGCCACAAAAATCCATTCTGAGAATAATAGATAAAGAAATTTTCAACAAACTTCAATAGGAATTTTATCAAATTATGTACTAATAAATGTCTGTCTTTTAAAGCTTTTTGTGGTCTTTTAATCATAATGTATGTTATATTTGTGAATTAATTCATAGTGATGATTCTGAGCCAGTTTTCCAAGTTATATTGTGTGGGTATTTCCTAAACATCTGTATTTACATAGTTTTTGATCGATCATACACTTAGTTAGGCTTAAAATTAAGGCTAAATATTTTGTTGCAAAACTTTCAGTGTATCAAGTGGATTATAGATCGGTTTTCTCTTTGATTCACTTGAGTTAATAAACAAATGTTTTAGTTTATAAACAACCTTAGAGATCAAAAAATGCACTTGGTATATACTGTGGTTGAATGCTTGATTTGCTCTGTTTTATTCTAGATGGATATCCTAGAAATGAAATTGAATACAAATGGAAAAAAACCTCTGTTGAAGTGGCAGATCCAAAATACTGGAGATTATATCAGTTTGCATTTGTAGGGTTACGAAACACAACTGAAATCTCTCATACCTTGTCTGGTAAGACAAAGTGTTAAGTTTTATTTCATGTAATATCTATGTAAAACAAGACTAACAGATGAAGATAAAACTGAGAAAGTGTTTTCAATGTTGTGCAAGTTTTTTTCTTTTTTTCTTTAATTTATAGGTGATTATATTATTATGACAATCTTCTTTGATCTCAGCAGACGTATGGGATATTTTACTATTCAGACATACATTCCTTGTATACTCACAGTTGTTCTTTCATGGGTGTCGTTTTGGATCAATAAGGATGCAGTTCCTGCAAGGACTTCTCTGGGTAAGAATGTCTTTTTTTCAACCTCAAAGGGTCTGGTACTTCCCAGGAATACAAATCTGCAGCAGAGAGTAAATTAACCACAGTTCACTTTGTGACAATTTGTTACCTTTTCTCTTGAACTGCAACATCAAGAGTAGGAGGATCCTGCTGTGGTTGCACAGCAGGGCTTGAGGAGGGAGTTTTGAGAACGGAAATCTGGTAATCCTCATTGCAGCCTTGTGAATCTGCTGTTGTTCATATAAATGTATTTTTTTAAAAAATCTTTATGTTCTTTTTGTCATCTCCAGGGATGGCAATATGGCAATCATTAGTCTGTCAAGTATGATTAAACTTCACTTAACATCATGCAAAAAAGGATGTCGTTACTACACAGGAGAAAACTGGGAAAATCTGGTTTTGGAGGGTTTATTATTGGTTTTTGTTTGTGATGTTGGTTTTTTTTAATAATAGAAATTATTCAGTTGTTATTTTAAGGCCAGGATAGGACAGAAAATTTGCAATCAAAGTTGACCTTCAAGCCTTTAAGCGTATGTGGCAGGTGCATCCCCCTAGTGTGGGATGCCTCACCTCACAGCGGTTGCCAGGCAGATTTCAGAGAAACTTCTGGAAGTTTCTAGCTAGTTTGGATCTAGCCCTCTAGTCTGGGTGTACACCTAGGAAGCTGGCTGGTAGCCAATGGGTGGCCGAAATGGCTTTGACTGACCACAGCTTAGATTCCACTGAACTTTGAAACGAGGTCCTGCCAAGGGCACGTTGGAGCAAGTCCCTTCAGAGCAGCAGGTCCTGCAGTTGGGGCACAGCCCCACCTTGGTTTGGGACGCCGGCCAAGGTGACTCCTCGAGGTTGAGAGCCCTCATCTTTGTACGGGTGAGTGTATAAAATGATCTGGATCATTATGCTTTGTTAAGAGTTGGGTGTAGTGTAGTAGCTGCTCTTCTCAACCCATACCAGAACTTATAAACTTGGGGGAGCTTTCATTTTGTAATAAATCCAATTTAATAATGCATGTGGATTTGACTGAGAATGGGAGCACTCCTCACAGCATATAACTCACAAAAACTGACTCACTGCCCTGCTTTTTAGTACAGACAGTGCTGAAGTGTGTTGCAAGTTCTGCTACATAGTTAATTCTGTGTTAGCCTCATCTTGGCTGACCTGTTTAGCTTGATGTCAGTCTTGTACAACTGATTGTTAAGGATTCATGCTCTGCCTTGGAGAAGAGTCCCCATGTAAAGCCCGATAGATGGGGAGAAAAGCACGAGATGCACGCTAGCAACTTTGAGCTTAGCAATGACAGATACTTTTAGTAAAACTGGTGACTGCAGTGTGACCTATTTGGGGGAAAGATAAGAGCTGAAAGCGTATCTTAGGAAGTGAGAGATGTGAGTTAATTTTCCTCATCAGTTTTTAGGATTGTGAACACACCACTCTCATGTTATAGGAGCGATTCCTACCAGAAGGGTGAGTCCAGGCTTTAACTCCTTGCCTTTCCCACTGAAGCTGGATCACTGTGTAGTCAAGCCTGCAAGATTAATGAGTCAAGAAGGAAAGTAAGCAAAAAAGAGCATGGCTCAGTAGCCTTATGAAAAGATAAGGGAAGAAAATCCGAGTCTTGAATCTTAACTTTACACTATTCAAAACTACTGCAAGGTTTAGTAGAGAGCCTAAAATATTGAATAAATACATGAAATTATCTATTGATAGTTTCAAATATTGATATAGAAAGTTATTATAAGATTTCTTTGACTGACTAATCATCATTGTGGGTACTTCTTGCAAAGACACTAGCTGTAATAGGAAAAACTGTTATACTGGTATCGTGCTAGTTCTGTACCCTGTTTTCTAGTTCTGTATCTGTTTGTTCTTTGTGCAAAGTACTTTTTCTATGCCACAAACCCAGCAAAATTGCCTTTGATCTCATGGTTAAGCTAGAGCTTTCATGCTCCCACTTCAGCAGTACTAACCTTCATCTACTTGAGATGTACTACAAGCATTTGCAATATCATATTTACAGCTCCCTGCAGTTAACTGAGCTACTTTTGTGTGAACATGCAGAAGCCATTATCTGACAGATTGTAGGATGACTTTTCTCATATGCAGATATTCTGGTGAAAAAGAAAGAGAATACCAGTCAAATGGAGAGAATTGTATAGAAAAGACTGAGAAATTTAGACAAGAAAGCCAAACTAAGCAAGATCCTTTGTGGCAATCACTCATGATGCTGTGGAAGGTTTGTTCCCCGTGACAGCCTCCTGTATACCTTTCACGTGGTGGTGAGGACTGGGAAAGTCCAGGCCTCTTTTGTCTTCTCTGAGAAGAAGTCAGTAAGGGGAATGGTGGATGTGACTCCTCACCTGGATGCTGTGCTGGGGTCTGGTACACTGAAAAGATCTGGGCCTTTTCCTTCCGTATATGTTAAAAGATCTTGGCAGATTGTGGTGTGGTTTCCGAAAGCAAAAGGTTTACAAGATCATTCTATAGTGACTCCTGATTCCATCCTTTGATTTAAAAGCCATAGACAGCCTTAGACTGAAGTAACACACTTTTTTTTTTTCTCAATAAACCTGCAAATATAAATAACAAATTATTTGTGTAGTACATAACAGATTATTCATGTGTTCAAGTGTTGCTCTCCAAAGTAAAGGTCACATCTTAATTTTGGACAACTATGAAAAAAGCTTTGCATATCCCTGAAGCATCAAATATAAGAAGGGAACGTTAGCATCTTCTAAATGTTAAACCAGTGAAGAGTGATATAGTTAGACTCTGAACACATCATTGTTAAGGTCAGCTTGTACTTTTAATTTACTTCTATGTAACGGAATCAAAGGAAACATTTTCTATAAATTGAGACATAGTATTGAAAGAATGCCTAGTCACTTAGAGAATGAGACCAGAAAGGCTCAGTTGGTCATCAAGTTTGATCTGCTGTGTGTCAGAAGAAACCAATTGAAAGCATCATTCCTTTTTCTCCTGTTTTCTGAAAGTTTGAAATAATTGATAAATAACACATTTTTTTTTCTGAATGTGTCCTTCTGTACATTTTAATATCTCAAGAGCCATTGGACTTTTTTTGTGTTTATAAAATTTGTGTGCTTATTTATACCTGTTGTCTATTATATTTGTTTTAAATTTGCATTCTGTAACAGATTTATAAAATTATCCAAATTCTCTCAGTGTTGTTGTTTATTCACTGTGTGTTGAAAATGGAAGGGTTTTAAACTGAAGGTGAAATGTGCTGCCTTCTGTATGATCCCACAGTGGCTGCTGGATCCATAGGGGATGACTTTTGATAACACTCATGTGTCTGGGTGTGACTAGCGGTGAACCCTGCTGTGGCTCCATTCTTGTTTGCTTCATGCTTGGATTAAGAGGGTTTGAGGATTTATTTTTGTGTGTGTGTGTGTGACGATACAGATGGATTTCTTATACACTTCCCTCTTCCTGTCTTTTTTTCTCTCTTTCTTTCTCAAACAGGCATTACAACAGTTCTGACCATGACAACATTGAGTACAATTGCTAGGAAGTCACTCCCAAAGGTCTCCTATGTGACAGCAATGGACCTTTTTGTTTCTGTTTGCTTCATTTTTGTGTTTGCTGCCTTGATGGAATATGGCACCTTGCATTACTTTACCAGCAACAGAAAAGGGGACAAAGGAAAAGAAAAGAAGGCGAGATCTAAGCCATCAGTAAGTTTAGTCAAACAACAAGAAAAAAAAAAAACAGAATGCTCTTTACTCTGGCATTAATTTTGAGAGACTGGTTCTTAAGTAGAATGGTTAATGCATAAAGTTAACTAAAACTAATATTTATTTTACCATTCTTTTGCAGATGAGGTCTTTTATTTTCTGTAAATACTACTAATGAACAAACATTTTAGATAATTTCAGCCATATGTGAATAAGAACACTTGAGCCTAAACTAGAGAGTGATAAAATATTCCATGCTTCCATACTGTGCTGAAGCCCTTGGTACTTCTAGAAATGCCTGTGGAGTGTGTGCCTGTGGAGACGTTCTGCTTGGGCACAGTGCTTCTGAAAACAGCACCCGGCAGGGAACTATAGATAAGACTGTATCATAAGTCCATAGTGTAAATGGACTGAAGGCGTGAGGATTTGGCTAGATTTGCATCACCAAGCTTGGGTCCTACCTCATTATCTTTGCAAAGGAAAAAGTGCTTATTATTGGTCAATATTCTGATTTCCTCCACTTCGGAAATTCTACTTTAATTCTTTCTTTTCCCCCATGTATTTCCATGCTTCTTTATGGTAAAATGAACCTTCTACTTTTACAATTTGATGTTTGTGTGGTGTGAATTCCTACATATCCTAGGAACAAGTATCACTCAATTTTAAGAGGCTTTCTATTTGTGTAGTAAGAATAATAGAATTTCCAAAGAATCTTGTGTTGGAAGCCAATGCAACTATTTAAGGCTAATACTTAAACTAATAAAACATTGAGATAAAGGTGTTAAACAGGTTATTCGTATGAACCCTAGTCTTAATATCTGAGGGTTGATTGTAGTCACCTTTTAGAGAGAATAGAAGGGAGGATCTGGAGGCCCTTTCCAGGTCATTTCATCAAAGGAATATGAAGCATAGCTGAATCATAGTATCAGTTGTCTTTTCTGGGTGAAGACTGAATACCACCTGTGTAAAATCAAACAGAAATTGAAATGAAATTAAAGAAGCCCAGATATGGAAATACAGAAGTCCTGTTATGAACCATATCCATTCTGTGACTAGTATCGGAAAGCACTGGCATGCAACTGTTTTGAGCAGTGCTGCAGTGGGAGACTGTTCTGGGGGCTGCTTTGGCTTAATGCCAGGGAAATAAAGGCCCTTACATTTCACATGGTGAGCTGGTCTGAGTGAATCACCTCTTTGTTTAGGACAAGGGTATTGGTGAAGCTTTAATCCAGCCCTGTGTTGCCTTGGTTGGACATCACTGTGATCCTCAGGGAATCCTGTACAACCAAGAGAACTGGAAAGTGGAATCCCCAAACCTCCTTACTGTTAGTGGTAGAAGCAAGTGTAGCCACAATGGGAAGGATGGCAAACAGTCTTTGGCAAGGACCACAGCTGAGCAATGACTGTAAAAGACAGTAGAGACTACAGAGTTTTGGGGACTTCCCAGTGTTAGCATGGCAGATTCAATTTTAGGTTACCGTTGCAAGGTTGAGTTCTCAACAACACTTAGGGAACAGTGGGGGCTGAAATAGGTCTGCTCTTAGCATGTACAACAAGGAGAAAAGCAAGAGAGAAGGAAATACTTAGGAAATACTTCTTATTCAAGCCAGGAAAGAATTAAAGATCAGCTGCTGGCAGATCAAAAACCACTGAAGTGGTTTGCAAGGACACTCCATCAAATAGAGTGACTATACTTTCCAGAATCTGTTCACACATCAGCCTTTTATGGAATGATCTACCAAATGCTTTGATATTTTCAGGGTATATGTCAATTTAAAATACAGAATAATGGTGAGATAGAAACTATGACACTTATTGAACAAATAGATGGAGTTTGGACTAAGATTAAAATTAGCAATATAATGCTCAAAACACTACTCAGTTGTGTTTTACTATGTTCTTAAAGCCTGCTTTTTGTTTCTAAGTAGTTCAGAAACAACCATCTCTTCACACATAACTCTTTAAACATGTTTCAGCATGCTTTGGCTGAAAGACTATGCTAAATAAAAGATTACTCTTTAAAAAGGAGAGGATTAAATTTAATATACTTAGATGCAAGGATTCTAGTTTGATAAACAGGGGTTTTTTGTGATGTTTTATAGAAAGCTATACAATTTCTTGTTCCAAATATAAAAATTAAAGAAGTTTTCTGATTAATTAATGTGAAGTCATACAATTACAAATCCAATTAAGCAGGTTTTTTTTACCCCTTTATCTTTGTCAAAGACTTCCATTCATTCTTTTTCTTATGTAGTTATGGATATGTAACTCAAAAAACCCAATTTAATTAAAATAGTTTAATTCCTTCTGAAAAGTTCTCATTTACAGGTGTTATTTCCCTTGGAAAACTTGCTTTCCATTTCTGTTGGGAAATGCAAGCTTATTACTCCAGAATCTGGTGCCAATAAGGTGAGATAAATGATCTTGTGAAAAAATGGTGAGATTTTACAAATGATTACAGCAGCTTTATCTTGCAAAATATGTGCTGGCATCATTTAAGAAAAGTAGTATGAATTGGCTTATGTAAATCCACATTAGTATGAGCAAGTAATGAGTTTGAGTAGAAAAGCTTAAACTTAATTAGTTGTGGATCTTGTGCTGATCATAATTTCACCTGAGATAAATGGATCACTTGTGCTACAATGTCTGCAGATGATGGCTTTTTTTTTCTGCATGTATGTCGTGGTTTGACCCTGGCCGGCAGCCAGGTACCCACACAGCTGCTCTTTCACTCCCTCCTTCTCCACTAGACAGCGGGAGAAAATATTTCAAAGGACTTAAGGTTTGAGATAAGGACAGGGAGATCACTTGCATTTACCGTCTCAGGCAAAACAGACTCGATTTTGGGGAAATTAATTACATTTAAGAGAACAAATCAGAGAGGAGTAGTGAGAAATAAGAAAAAGCAAACGGATCTTAAAAGCAAAACATCTTCCTCCCATCCCTCCCTTCTTCCCAGGCTTAACATCAATCCCGGTTTCTCCACCTCCTCCCCCCCAAGCGGCACAGGGGGACAGGGAATGGGGTTTACGATCAGTTCATCCGACGTTGGTTCCACCGCTTCTTCTTCACTCCGGAGGAGGACTCTTCACTCTTCCCCAGGGTCATTGTGGGGACCCTCTCAAGGGAGACAAGCTTCACGTTCTCTTCTCCAGCGTGAGTCGTCTCACGAAGGGCAATTCATCACAATCTGCCCAATGTGAGTCCCCTCATGAGGGGCAACCCACTCCTCGTGAGTCTGAGGTACGGTCCTTCAGGGGAAACTGCTCCAGCGTGAGTCCCCCGCCGCGTCACAGAAGTCCTGCCAGCCAACTTGCTCCAGTATTCCTCTCTTCCACAGGCTACAGGATCTCTTCCCACGGGCTACAGCCCCCTTCAGGCATCCACCCACACGACATGGGGTCCTCTGCCCCACGGTGGACATCTACACCCTGCCCGTGGACTGCAGGGGGGCAAAACGCTTCACCATGGTCTTCACCATGACCTGGGGGACTCTGCTCCGGTGCCTGGAGCTCATCCTCCCCCCTCTCCTTCTTCACTGACATTGGTGTCTTCACAGATTCTCACTCCTCTGTCTCTGCGCCAGCTGTTTTGGCGCAGTTCTTTTTCTCCATTTCTTAAATTTGTTTTAACAGAGGTGTTCCTCTCCTATCGCTTTACTGATAGGCTCAGCCTTGGCCAGTGGCGGGGGGCCCTTTTGGGGCCGCTGGGGGTGGGGTCTACCAGACTTGGGAAGCTTCTAGCAGCTTCTTGCAAGAAGCCACCCTGCAGCTCCCCTTGCCGATGCCAGAATCTGGCCAGGCCAACCCAATACAACGTATTAGTGTTAATGCAGAATAATTTGGGTTTGATCTTATCAGAGTGTATTATAAACATTTCTCACTGTACATGGAGTTTTATCTACAACATCTACAATATCAGTAGGCATGTACATGAACAATAAGTGTGTATTACTGTATCTACATGGGGTTTTAGTTGGGTTTTTTGTTTGTTTGTTTGTAATTTCTCTGCCAACTGGTATGAGGTCATTTTCTTCTGAAATGGTTTCTCCTCCTTTTCCTCATGTTGTTTCTTTCTTACACACATTTTATGTGTTAGCTGTAGGTAGTTAGGTCTTTAAGATGGCACTGTCTCAGGGCACATCTTCGGTAATTCAATAGCCAACTTCTGTCTGTGTTAATGACATGAGCAGAAAAAAGCAGGACTGATGTTTTTTTCCTCTTCCCATATTTTTCTGAATCAGGGGTCCCTATTTTATCTCACTAGTAGAAATGAATCATGCCATGATTCCAACAGTTAGAAAACTCCTGTAAAGCCAAAGTAGGTGTAAATTAGAAGTAAGCATCTTACCCTATTTGCCTTCAAAAAATAATGGTTTTGGAATAAGAAAGTTCAATTTTTAAATTTTTTTATGTTTTATAAAAATAAACCATGTTTATAATGCTGCAAATTGGGGTAGAAGTAAGGAACTGCTGTTAATATTGTCAGTATTTTATCATAACTGAAAAGAATAATGAGATCCTTCAGGATAATAATTACCTCCCTAGGTCATCATGTCTAAAAAGTGTTGAAACAGCAGTCTATGTGAAACTTCCTCTGGTAAAGACACATTAAAAAAAAGCTATTGGAAATCATGGTGGATATTGTTCTACTTTAACATCACCCCTTGGGACAGAGTGCCTCTGTAATAATGTGTAGAGATCTGTGTACTGGCTAAAGTAATGCCCTGGAACGGGGACAACAGAACCCTAAAACATAACTAATATCTAAATGATGTGGCTTTTCTATTTTTTTCTTTCTTTTCTCTCTTTTTTTTTCCTATTTCCTATCATGCATAACTGTTTGAGAGAGATTCTTCTCTATACTTCAATACCCCATAATTTTTCCTGATTGCATCCTTTCCTGCTGTATTTATTCTGCATTTATGACAAAATATGATGATGGTAAAAAAGAAAGAAGACAATGTAAAAGTAGTGTTGATGTAATCCCTATCTTCAGTCTGAAGATTTTAGAAGAGATGCCAAAAGTGGCAGGGAAAGAATGTTGAAAGAAAGAGGATTATGGTGTAGTTTAAAAAGGCTTAGTAGTGTAGTTTATGGTGTAGTTTAATGAGATTTAGAAAGAGGAAAAAAGGAGAGATAGAGGAAGATAATGTCTTTTGAAATATTAATCAAAACAAGTATGAGGAGTGAAGAACTGCATGGAAACAAAATAATAAAAGGAGGATAGCTAGGATGTGACAAGTGCAAGTAATAGGGAGGTGAAGCAGAATAAGAAAAGGGGGAAAGATGAGATATGACAGGGAGATGAAAAGGCAAAATTCGTAAGAATGAAAATAGTGGCCAGTATGTGTAGTAGGCAAAAGGGCACACAGATTTCTCTTTTTTTTTTTTGTGAAAACTATTTATGAACTTTAACATCTACTACACTGAGAGTTTAGCAGATTGCAAGAAGGTTGAGTTATGCCCACAGAAAGTAAAAGTAAGAATTAAGAGCAGAATTAATCAGTTTCACCAACTTGAATGGTATTCTCCTTTAAGGAGCCTTATATCTTGGTTTCTAAAGGCAGGACATATTGTTTAGGGATTCAGCATCAGAGGGTTAGATGACATAGCCTGGCCTTATGTGTCTCAGTCTCTTAAACTTCATCAGTGATGCTATACTAATCCCACTAGCTTTATTTCTCATGAAAATATAGCTTCCAGAAACACATCCAGACTCATTCTACAGACTGCAAATGATGGAGGAATCATCATTCCCTTGATAGTGATGCTTCTGGCCTTCTTGTGGACTTGCTTGTGACCCAGTTGTCAAGCTGTGACTGACTTCAAAATGTTCATTTGTGTTGTGTAGATGGGATCAGCTAACCCTGTCTATGTAACTAATTATCCACTATTCCCAAATCCCAGCACAACTCAGTTTTCACTGTGGCAGGTGAAAATCATTCATGATCTTTTGCCTACAATGACCTAATTATATAGAGCAGTTCATAGTTTGCAAAGCTCCCCAAATTTGTTTCTTTAATGCTAGAATTTCTGTATATTGTACTGAAGGTATTGGCCTTTTCTATGGAAAGCCTATGGAATTATTTAATGTGAGGATATCAAAACTCACAAAACTCTATTTTTCTTTTTTTTTTTTTTTTAAGAAACCACCTGCAATTGCTGTTCGACCTGGATCAACACTAATTCCAATTAATAACATTAATCATCTCCCTGAACGTGATGATGATTATGGATATGAGTGCCTAGAAGGGAAAGACTGTGCTAGCTTCTTTTGTTGTTTTGAAGACTGCCGCACAGGATCTTGGAGAGAAGGAAGAATACACATCCGTATTGCAAAAATTGACTCCTATTCTCGAATCTTCTTTCCAACTGCCTTTGCATTGTTCAATCTTGTTTACTGGATTGGCTATCTTTATCTATAAATCTCAGAGGTCTGACAAACTCAGAAAAAAAATGATAATTGAATAGTCATTAACACATTTCAGTGAGCGTTCAAAGATTAGAGCTGGTCTAAAATTACTCAAATTGTTTGGATGCTTTAAAAATTTGAAAAAATGAGATGAAATATGATGATGTAGTCTCCCTCTTGTGATCAAATGTAGAACTAGTGCTGGTATTTTGAAGATAAAATTAAAGTAAATATCTCTAAGATTTAATTTGCTTGAACACACATGTATTTTTGTCCAGCTTGAACAAACTGCAGAATCAAGAAGCTATGTTATTTAACCGGACAGTTCTACGTAAACTTTTAATTTTAATCCTAAATGATAATACTGATGAATTTTGTAGCATCTCTTATACTTTTACAAAGAAAGCCTTAATGAAATGGGTTTAGTCATTTTCATCCTTTTCATCCTTAAGGTGATGATTTTATTAATCTCGGATTTAAAAAAGTTGAAACGGAACACTTCTGGTTTTCAACCAGCTATTGTTCTCTGCAGTATGTTAAAAAGAGTGATTAGGTCATAATTAATCACATTCAGATTTATAAAGAATGTAGTGATTAGAGCAGCGAGAAATAGATCTATCTCAAAAAACCCAAGGGTAATTCTGAGCTTGTCCTATCCTGATCATTGGTATCAGCTTTTGGCTTTCAATCTTAGATTACATTCATGTCTGTACTCCTTCTGCCATCACTTCAGTGTTCTGAGTTCCCCAAAGTTCTCCAAGAGGGCTAGAACTTTCAAAAATTCCTACCCAACTTCCATTGCTTGCTCATGTCATGGAAACAAGATTGATGTTGGCTGAGATTCTGGCCACTAAAGATGATGTTCTTCACATCCTCCCCATTCTGCTCTCCTTTGTCTGATTCATACTCAGGGTGAGAGAAAAAGTCATAACTCTCCATCTGGTAGAATTTGTATCATCAGAGTTTGAAAAAACTGTAACAGTGCTATGGTCATTATGTTCAAAGCCACTATGTTAAATTTCCAGCCCTAAGAGTGTATGTGTGACCTGCTCCACTTTGTATACAGTACAATTTTGTAGATTCTGCTTGTTACTGCATAAGCTACTCACTGAGCCAAAGCCAAACGGTGTGAATTTACCGAACCTCTGTTATGGATTGGTGTGTAATTACCTCCTTGAGATTTGTTTGTTTCTAATGGAAGAACCCTGTTGGGGAGTGGTGGTGGGACTTAAAATAATCCTTATGTGTTGCACATCCTTCTTTAACACTATATGTATCCCCTCAGAAAACATAGGACCAATTATCCAGCCTTTCTGTGGACAGAGCTTCCATTCACTTTGATAGCAATTCTTCAGTCATAGACTGACTTCTCTCTGTTGAATATTGCTGGCTAGCAGCATTTAGTATCCCATTTCTATTTTTAAATCCATTGTCTTTTTATGGAAAAGTGCAGCCTTTCCCCCTTTCTCAAGAAGAAACTTGTCTCCAGTGAGCTTGCAAAAATCACTGTAAAATTAAAATATGCATTAAGTAAAAGTCAGAATTACACAGAAGACCTTACAGATCTTTAAAGCAGATTAATAGGATTAGCATTTGGCTGTAGGTAAGGATGTTCAGCACTGGAGATAGACATGATTAATGGCTAATAATAGAAAATTATACATGAAGGACTCCCCCACCTCAATATTTCTGTTGAATATGTTCCCTCCTCTGAATTTCTCAGAAAAGATTAAGTTATTTTTATATTCTAGTTACCAGACATAATAAGATATGATCTGTAATATGCATTTCAGTTTAAATGTTATTGCAGTCTTCAGCCCCGAAGTTTGATAGAGAATGCAAGATTATATACAATTATTCTGGAAGAACGTGTGACAGAGAAGATCCCATTTTAATGCAGACTTTATTTCAGTATTTAGCTGATGAAATACAAAAGTGGTTGAGAGAATCTGAAAGCCTTCTGTTGAGGCTGACTGACGTTGTTTGTTGCATGACCTTTCTGAGCACTAACTTCTTCTGACTGAGACTGAGTGTAGAAGTGCGGCATCATTAACAACATTGATCTACTGTGATGTATTGTTTTTTTAGTCTCATTTTCAGATAAATGTTCAGCATGATGGAAATGTGTCAGTTTTAATTCCATAGTGCGGTCTGATGGTTTTTGACAGCATCCTAACTACATTCCTCTGTAGGAGGGATGAAGGTGGCTTCAGCAGCAGTATGTTGGATGTGCACTTGAAAAGCACTCTGCTCGCTATACAATACAAGGCCCAGATTTTGTGAGCTCCTGAGTTTTGTTAATTCACCTTTAAACAAAAAAGAACTTGAAAGAACTTGGCGCTTCACAAGAGGAAACACAAATTTCACAGCCTACTCTCCTCTGGCACACTAGTTAGCTTTTTCTATTCATGTAGTTGTCAGTTGCCAATCAGCCTCCAGTGACTGAATTGGAGAATAGAAAACACCCAGAATTGGCAAGGGATGGGTAAGAAGTCTTTCATCTCTAATTTCTATGAAACAATGTAATAGAGTATTAAACCTATTGAGTGTTATGGCTGTTTGGCTTATGGATACTTCTGTCTGTTGACAAACTTTTCTGTGTAGTTCATTTGTTTCTGATGAAATAATTTTAGTTACACATAGTACTGTGAGTTCAAATAGAAATGGGAATGCAGTGAACTGTATCACGGCATGTAATAAATGTGTTATTTTAGTCCTATGTGTTTTCTTTCCAATCTGCATGTGAACACTTGATTCCAAGAAATGTAAGTAATGCTAAAAAAAAAACCCACAAGAAACAGAGTCTACAATTACTTGGACTTAGGTGCTGCCATCATTTTTCAAACCTAAGTGGATAAAACATTTTTCAAACCTACCTGGATAAAAGTTTGTTTACTGATAGCTCGGATCACAGTATTTGGAGTCATATTTTTCTGACCATTACTGCTTAAAGCACATGCTCAAACCTATTCCTAATCAGTACTGTAATTAGACCACAATTCAGAAAAGTGTGTGCTTATGTACTGTCATAAAGAGTGATGATCTCCTGAATTGATGCCATTAACACATGCTTAATTTGTACTAATTTCAATAATGAGTGTTCCGTAGCTCAAATGATTGAGCATTAAAGATGTGAGCCAGAGCCTCTTCAGTAGGAAGTTTTCTCACTGAAAGAGAGGGACACAAGAGGAGAAATTGCCATAAAGGCAGAGAGGTGAAAAAATCTCGGGAAACTGTCTTATACTGCGCCTACCTTAAGCATTTCCTGAAATGTATTTTTCAAAAAAGAGACTTCTCCTTGATATTTCTTTATCTGTGTTCACCACTGTCTGTTTTGAGCAGTGAGTACAGCTCAGCGTGTTATTTGTTCGTAAGGTTTTGTTTATGATTGTATCTCACTGATCTTCAGTGCATGTCTTCCGTGTCTGACTGAATCTGTTTTATGTAGTGTCAGTGCAACCAAAGCATGAGATCTGGGTAACGTGCTTTATATTCCCATGCTGATGTGCTTCAAAGGCTTTAACTTACCTGATTTTCTGACATTCGGAGACATAGGATTGTGTAGGACTTTGAAGGAGAGTCAACTTCAACCTGGTTTTTATAATTTTCTGTTGCTTAATTGCTATAACAGTGTAAGATTTGTTCAAAATTGATATCTGAACTATGTTTTGTAATCTGTGAGCACCTTTGACCTTTCAACTGAAAGCCCAACAGGAGGAGTCTGGATTTAAATATCTATCTGCCTAAAGTAAGATATGTTTTGTGTAATTGCATCAGTCTTCATTTCCATTTACTGTTTCAAATACATGAGAATTAGTGCAAGCCCATCTAATTTAATTTTTTTAAATCATTGTTAATATTATTTTTAATTCATTGTAGTGTCTCTCATTCATGAAATGTGATATTTCATGTTTGTAAAATAATACTGTATGTTTAAGCCATTATAATAGATATATAAAATAGAAAATAATGTAGAATCCCACAGCTAATGAATGCAAGGCCAGAAATTAGAAAGAATTACTGTGCTTCCTTTTCTGAAAAAGCTCAGTGAATGTCCTCGTGCCCCAGTGAACGTGCTCTGTGGGAATTGACTCATGGGGAGAGATAGAATATTCTCCAGGCTGTAGCAAAGTCCTCTGCATTAGTTCATGCTATGGGTTTCCTACCCAAGTGGTTTAAACCAATGAAAGCAACAGATATGTCCACCCTTTTTCAGTTGTCTCTTGCTTCTGCTTCACTTGTACCACTAATAGCAGTTGTAAAGCTGTGTTGCCAGCTGAATCAAAACCTGAAAATTTATTTTTATTTTAGTCTTTTGTAGGTTAACATTCCAACCAGTTAGGTGGGATCATCTGACTGAACATACAAGACTGTGACCAAGTTCTGGTCCAATGGAGGTGATGGGAGCTTGCAGCTGGAGGCAGAGGCATGGCTTCTTGTGATATTTTACATTTCATTCAGTTGAGAATCCGCACTGAAAGCTGATGTGGAGGAAAGAGAGAGATGTAGGGAGCGGGGGAAATGTCCCTGGGAGCAATGATATCAGAGTCTAAGTGACTTATGATTAGTTAATAAGTTTCTCACTGGTATTTGTGTTAATGCTCTTGTTTTCCCTGCAAAATAATTAAGTATATTTTCTTTTAAAAAGAAGACAATACCGTGCATTTTCTATATGTTAATTACAGACTGAATGAGCAATATATAGTTATTTTGAGTGATCATTCTGGTGAAATTGTCAGACAGCAAATCAGGAATCAGATTCAATCAAAAAATATCTTTTTATCTTCTTTTATTATTAATTGTAAAACTATTTTTAAAATTATTGAGTGTTGATTAGTACAATACACCCTGTAAAAAAGCAAGTACCCTGGTTTACATTGCTGTTAGTCCTGAGGGCTGAAATATCTTGGAACAGAAACCTGAGCCAGACTACATTCAATCAAGTCCCTCTCTCCTTCGAGGAGTGGGAAAGGTGGATTGTGATCATGCCAGACAAGAACTAGTATAATTCAT